GGTGATTTGTTGGATTAAAGACAATCTGTGTACTTTAAGATTGTGGTTTGTTGGATTAAAGACAATCTGTGTACTTTAAGATTGTGGTTTGTTGGATTAAAGACAATCTGTGTACTTTAAGATTGTGGTTTGTTGGGTTAAAGACAGTCTGTGTACTTTAAGATGGTGATTTGTTGGATTAAAGACAATCTGTGTACTATAAGATTGTGGTTTGTTGGATTAAAGACAGTCTGTGTACTTTAAGATGGAGATTTGTTGGATTAAATACAATCTGTGTACTATAAGATTGTGGTTTGTTGGATTAAAGACAATCTGTGTACTATAAGATTGTGGTTTGTTGGATTAAAGACAATCTGTGTACTATAAGATTGTGGTTTGTTGGATTAAAGACAGTCTGTGTACTATAAGATTGTGGTTTGTTGGATGAAAGACAGTTTGTTTACTTTAAGATGGTGATTTGTTGGATTAAAGACAGTCTGTGTACTATAAGATGGTGGTTTGTTGGACTAAAGACAGTTTGTTTACTTTAAGATGGTGGTTTGTTGGATTAAAGACAGTTTGTTTACTTTAAGATGGTGGTTTGTTGGAATAAAGACAGTTTGTTTACTTTAAGATGGTGATTTGTTGGAATAAAGACAGTTTGTTTACTTTAAGATGATGATTTGTTGGACTAAAGACAGTTTTCTTACTTTAAGATTGTGTTAGTTGATTTGTTGCTTTTTTGTGTAGTTAGATGTGTTGCAAAAAATAATATAATTAAATGAAAGCCATTGTGAAAAAAGTTAGAGGCCTGAAAATGGTAAGATGAAAAAAGTACTTTTATTCTTAGACTGACTCAGTGAAGGCTTCATAAATTCACAGACAAATCTTTAGTAAAAATACTTTTTAAGAAATCAAATTTTTTTTTGTGTACAACAGACTTGCAGTGTTTACTTAAAACTTGTCAAATTTCATGAAAATACACTTTGTTGTATTCACAGTTATAGTATGTATAGTTTCATGGTTACGTGGCTGTTAGAAGATTTGTCAAATTGACCGACCCGTCAACATAGAGTTAAAATCGCACGTACTTTATTACCTGGAATATATTAGAAAACTAAGTTTGTATTGAAGTTTGTTTATTTCTATATGGTGGTACTTCTGCAGGACCACTTCTTATCAGCTGATGAGTATGACGATTCTGCCACACTCTATAATGCCATTAGCACCTACGAGAAAACACTTGTAATATCACACGAAGCCGATCCCACGTGGAGGAATGCTGTTTTGTCAGGTGTTCCTTCTTTACTTGCTCTTAGGTATGGCATTCTCAGTTACATTTTTCCTGTAAAAGTTTAGGGCTTTAGTTTTTTTTTATTTGCCTGTAGATAAGTGTTTCCTTAAGATATACGACTTTAGATGATATTCTTCCCAAGATGCTACTTCTTTTTTCACTTGCAGTAAGGGAAGTAGCTATGTATTTTGTCGAAACAAACAAGTGTACTGAAGCTGGTAGATGTTTTCTTGAAATATTTTTAAGGAGAAGATGCTGAAGAAATGTCAGTCATGCAAAAGTAATCACTTATTCTTTGATAGATTGTTTAGGAAGATCATTCATGATGAAATTTGGTTGAATGGATGGCAACTGCCTGTTGTAGAAACACAAGTATAGAGTTCGACGTAACAGCAAATGTACAACGTTTCGACAAAGTTTTGTCATCATCAGGTAATTGTTGTACCTTGTACAAATGTTGTACATTTGCTGTTATGTTAAACTTATATTAAAGTTTTTCTTCATTACCCATTCAAGCCGTCTCCAGCCATTATTAGTCTCAAAGTTGGTTCCTCGTCACCGAATAAGTATAGAGTTTGACGTATTGAAAGTCTTCTGCCTTTCAAATGTTGTCATCTACACTTGTTTCTACATGGGCAGTTGCCATCCATTTAACCAAATTTCATCAGTATTAACTTAATTTCTACTCGTTTGTGGGTATAAAAGCGACAAAGAAAATTTTATGTATTTATGAGTTTTCTAAAAAATTTGAAAAACATAAAATTAATAGAAAGCACATGGAAATTCTTAGAAAAAAAAAATTAAATTATATTTTATTGTGCCCTACATTGTGCCTTGCTAACAGTATAAAAACTTTAAAATTTAAAAATATAATTTTCCTATATTCCAGACTATATTTATGGATAAGAACAATCTCATCTGGATGTGACCAAATGTTACTGACTTGCATTCTTCTTCAGCTTAAATTAATTGATAATCACATGGAATACCTCTATAACTCTGAATTACACTCAGAGGTTTTTATTCAAAATAAGGGTGTTAGAGGAAACATGTGAAATTTCAAATAGTAAAGTTATGTTTATGTAAAAAAATAGCTCTGTTGTTTGTTACTTGTGAGATGATTTTATATTTTTATCCTCTCTTAACGTTAGATTTTCAAAAAATATGAAGAGTAATGCTTTGTATAGAAGTTTGTTTTTCAGTGTTATGTATTGATAAGCCTTCTTTATTATATTTAATGTTAGCCTGTTTCTTATAACAATCTCTATTGATTACAGTTACTGTGATATACTGTGAAACAGTTGGCAATACAGTGTTTAATTTTAAACCAACTTGTATTTTAGCATCTTTAATGAACTTAATAATTCACATTTTGAGATCTTAAATCCACGTGTATCAAGTAATATTCACCTCATAATTTTTTCTACAGTTACTTATTCAGACACAGTTGACTGTTTTTTATATATATATATTTATGCGTAAACAAAGTGGACGTTAATGTACTTTCGAACTGCATGCATACACTATTATAATGACGATAGTATTCCTCTCCATAGGCACGTGTTCGATGATGGTGCTGATGAATACAAGATAATAATGTTGAACAAAAGACATCTGTGCTTCAGGGTTATAAAGGTATGTTTTCAGAATGTTGAAAAGAAGTGAGATAGATATATTTTATTGCATTAACCCAAAGGGATAATTAAGATGGGCATTCATTATATGTAACAGTAATTTAGTTTTGGAAGTGTCAGAAAATGTGTCACTGTTTTAGAATTTTCAAGGTATTTTCCTTATAATTTGAATTCAATATCATATCCCATTGTCCTATAGTATATATATATATATATATATCTTTAATATGTAGTAAACAAAAGTTTTAAATTTAGCCTACAGTTCTAGTTTTTAACTTAGATTATAGCCTTGTGCACAGCTAGAGTCTGTCAAAGACATTCACTGTTGTTTTGTAAGTTCTAATGTATCCAACGTCATCCCGAATGTTGGGTTTCTTTACGACTGACACATAAAGCAGAGATACCTTGATGACGGTTGTGATCCAGCTTCGTGATTGGGCAACTTACAGAGTGAAAATATATTATGAGAATAGTTTTGGCACGGTTAGTCTAGTATCTTTCATTCAACTATACTAAGTTATCAAGTCTACTGTTTGTTATTTGGGTAATCAGGTGAATCTGTTCTGAATTTTGAAATACCATAGAGAATTCTATGTACTTAATACATGTAGTTTTTGGAATACCATAAAACATGTTATATACTCAGTACATGTAGTTTTTGGAATACCACAAAGCATGTTCTGTACTCAGTACATGTAGTCCTTGGAATACCACAAAGCATGTTCTGTACTCAATACATGTAGTCCTTGGAATACCACAAAGCATGTTCTGTACTCAATACATGTAGTCCTTGGAATACCACAAAGCATGTTCTGTACTTAGTACATATAGTCCTTGGAATACCACAAAGCATGTTCTGTACTTAGTACATGTAGTCCTAGGAATACCACAAAGCATGTTCTGTACTCAGTACATGTAGTCCTTGGAATACAATAAAGAATTCTATGTACTTAATACATGTAGTTTTTGGAATACCATAGAGAATTTTATGCACTTAATACATGTAGTTTTTGGAATACCATAAAGAGTTCTATGTACTTAATACATGTAGTTTTTGGAATACCATAAAGAATTCTATGTACTTAATACATGTAGTTTTTGGAATACCATAAAGAATTCTATGTACTTAATACATGTAGTTTTTGGAATACCATAAAGAATTCTATGTACTTAATACATGTAGTTTTTGGAATACCATAAAGAATTCTATGTACTTAATACATGTAGTTTTTGGAATACCATAAAATGTTATGTACTTGTTACATGTAGTTCTTGGAATACCATAAAAAATGTTATGTACTTGTTACATGTAGTTCTTGGAATACCATAAAAAATGTTATGTACTCATTACACGTAGTTCTTGGAATACCATAAAATGTTATGTACTCATTACACGTAGTTCTTGGAATACCATAAAAAATGTTATGTACTTGTTACATGTAGTTCTTGGAATACCATAAAACATGTTATGTACTCATTACACGTAGTTCTTGGAATACCATAAAAATGTTATGTACTTGTTACATGTAGTTCTTGGAATACCATAAAATGTTATGTACTTGTTACACGTAGTTCTTGGAATACCATAAAACATGTTATGTACTCGTTACACGTAGTTCTTGGAATACCATAAAAAATGTTATGTACTCGTTACACGTAGTTCTTGGAATACCATAAAACATGTTATGTACTTGTTACATGTAGTTCTTGGAATACCATAAAAAATGTTATGTACTCATTACACGTAGTTCTTGGAATACCATAAAAAATGTTATGTACTTGTTACATGTAGTTCTTGGAATACCATAAAATGTTATGTACTTGTTACATGTAGTTCTTGGAATACCATAAAACATGTTATGTACTCATTACACGTAGTTCTTGGAATACCATAAAACATTTCATGTACTCGTTACACGTAGTTCTTGGAATACCATAAAAAATGTTATGTACTCGTTACACGTAGTTCTTGGAATACCATAAAATGTTATGTACTTGTTACATGTAGTTCTTGGAATACCATAAAACATGTTATGTACTTGTTACACATAGTTCTTGGAATACCATAAAATGTTATGTACTTGTTACATGTAGTTCTTGGAATACCATAAAACATGTTATGTACTTGTTACACATAGTTCTTGGAATACCATAAAATGTTATGTACTTGTTACATGTAGTTCTTGGAATACCATAAAACATGTTATGTACTCATTACACGTAGTTCTTGCAGTTTAAGTTGAACTTCATTTTGTAGAAAGTTATTAGAATCTAAAAGAACATCAATAATTTATTAGCCCTATACAGTATTTAACAAGAATACAATAGTATTTCAGCCGCACACATTTTCTCAGTTAATATTAACTTCTGATCAGAGCAGGCTACCTACTTAGATCAAAAATAAAACAATCAATCTGGTAATGAGTATAGTTGAGTAAATATACTTTTCTTATGTTTTTATTTATAGGTTATAGAATATGTTCTTTCATCCTTTGAGTATTCTTGATATATTTGGCAGTAAAAACTAATAATATCTTGCAAGTTTTAGCCAGCTTATGAGATTTAAGTTAGTCCTAACTTCATATACTAAGCTAACAATGTAATAGCCAGCTTGTGAGATTTAAGTTAGTCCTAACTTCATATACTAAGCTAACAATGCAAAACAATTTCTATAATAAAAGTAAAATAATGATAAATTTAAAATAATAAAGTAAGCTATTTTAGACATTCTATCAAAAACTGTTAATGAAAGTAACAGTAAAGAAGTAATACATTATACCTCACGTACAGAACAAACAGTCTCTAGTTGCTAGATTAAAATACTTTTGTAGATTTAATGTTTGTTGAAAAATATAACACCATTATAACAGTGCACGAGAAAATCTGTCCGCAAACCTACCTTTAAAACATCTTTTGGCCAATGAAAACCCATTAAATTGCTCTAACATTGTAACTTTAGAGAGATCTGAGATAAATTTCTGTAACACATCACTTACTTTTTAGACAGTAACAATAGTACAGTCAAAAACTGATTTTTAAGAAGATACAAATTGATAAATGATAAAAAATTAGAAATTAAATGAATATCTGAATCGTACATTAAATATCTGGTATGTTAGTCCTTTAATTCAAATGTAGCGACATTAAATGTAATAAAAAGAAAAACGTGCTACGTGGTATATCTAACACAACTAATTCAACTTTAACTACCCTCTGACATTTAACGAAACATGTGGACCAGGCAACAGTAAGTAATAGAAGTGTAATGTCTTAAAAGTAAAATTAACAAAGGAAGATACAACAATAGTAAATATAACAATGAATTAATAAAAACTTGTATAACTCAATAATGTTATACCATAAATGTAAATGTTATATAGCTTGTATTAACTATATATATAGTAAGAACTTAAATTGATGGGTGATAAAACTAATGTTGTTCAATATTACCTTAAACAGTTTCTAATAAATTAAAGTTTAGACATGAAAGTTTTTTAAAGGCCATGATGTTCAGTAAACCTTTTAAATCCCTAATTAGTAGTAAGAGTATTGTTGAATTTACGGCAAAAATTAATGAACTGTTCAAAATATGACAGGAGAAATCTCATTTTTGAAAAATGTGAGTGAGTTACGAGTCTCATAATGTAGAACAAACTCTTTTATCTGTGAATAGGAAATATTGTCACATAACTTGTTTGAAATATTTGTATTTGGAAAAGGAAAGTTAATAGCTTAAAAATTGAAAGTGTTAATTTTATTGAAATTTTGAACTTGAATGTTTGATTAGTGATTTGGGTATCTAAATCTAGGTAGCTTCTCTCTCTCTTCTTTTTTTTTTTTTGTGAGATATTTTTTTCCTGAGTGAGCTGTGTCAAGAAAACCTTATTAATACTAGAAATCATTGGGTTGGCTGGGCATACAACACATTAAGTGTTTGATTGTATTGCTGTTATATCTGTTTCTACTGGAAAAATATATAGGGATCTTAAAAATAATTTGATGACAAATTTTATGCCTTATTGTAATATCACACAAACCACTGATCTGTAAAACATATTTCTGCCACCATATGCAGTGTACTATATTAATATATAAAAACAATTTTTTAATTACTTTGAAAAATTGTAAAAGGTGAAGTTTTCATTAATCTATAAAAAGTCTTCATTTTGGATAGGTTTTAGCAAATTTTTTACTATTGTTACTAATATTTCTTGAAACAAGATTCTTAAAATAAAGGCTCAAAACTAAAAATTAAATTAGTTATCTAAAGTTCAATACTGTTTGCTTAAAAAAATGTTTTTGCCTATTTTTCTTAACATTAGTGTGTAAACTATAAATAATAATTAATTATTTCTAAATTAATGAGTACCATTAGTAGTTAAATGGGTGAAAATGTGGATAGGTAATATTGATTTAATTTTTTTAGCTATCATCCAATTTTTATTACATTAATGTTGTTGTGGTATTTCTGAGATAAACCTAGCACACAGTTGCCTGATCGTTGAATTTTTCATTACATTAATGTTGTAGTATTTCAGAGATAAACTTATCACACAGTTCCTTGTCATTAAATTTCTTTAGTAGGTGAAAGAAAAGAGAAAAACATGGCACGTAATTAAACTAAAAATGGATATTTTATTTACTGAAGATTGTATATATGCTCAAATTATATGTATGTGTTTTGTGCCTTATTTATTTAGTGTGTGATAATTTGTGGAGATTATTAATACTCAATAAAATGTTGTTATAAGTTAAATTACTGCTAGTTGTATTATGATGCTCTTTATGTAATACACATGTAGGTGAATCGTAAATGTGTACGAGGACTGCTAGTTGTATTGTGATGCTCTTTATGTAATACACATGTAGGTGAATCGTGAATGCGTACGAGGACTGTGGGCAGGACAGCAGCAAGAACTAGTCTATTTGAGAAATCGTAACCCTGAACGAGGAAGCATCCAGAATGCCAAACAAGCTTTAAGAAATATTATAAACTCTTCCTGTGATCAGCCTATTGGTTATCCTATTTATGTGTCATCTTTAACCACATCATATGCTGAAACTAATGAACAACTGTGTCAGGTTGTTGGTGGACCAGTCAGTTTTGGAACTTTTAAAAATGCAGTTGTTCAGCTTTGGAACAGGTGAGGAATTGTAATACATATTGAGGATCAGACTCAACATAGTTAAGAATTAAATCTTTTACTGAAAACGTCATAAAATCTGTAATAAAACCATCATAATGTGTAAGTAAGCTTCACGATTATCATATAGGATATCCAGACGGTAAGCTACTATTCCCGTCTTTCATTCGCTGGAACTAACGGTGCACACCACAATGCTTATAGGTTTGCTATAAAAGTATTTATTTCTACTTCTGGATATTTTCAGAAAAGATTCTTATTAATGTTTTTCAGATAACATTCTTATTAGCTCTTTATAAATGCTTGCCTTGCTGTCTTATTGAGTCATAGCCGAGGATCCTTACAGATGTTTTTGCAGTGCTGTCTTCTCACAATTTAGCTGAGGATCCATATAAATGTGTCTGCTTTGCTATTTTTTTAAGGATTAGCTGACGATCCATATGAATGTGTTTATTTTGCTATCTTCTCAGGATTTAGATAAGGTTTGATATGAATGTGTTTACCTTGCTATATTTTCAGGGTTTAGCTGAGGATCCATACAAATGTATCTGCTGTGCTATTTTCTCAGGATTTAGCTGAGGATCCATACAAATGTATCTGCCTTGGTATTTTCTCAGGGTTTAGCTGAGGATCCATATTGATTAAGCTGAGAGCTTATTTTTTTTCATTTAAGGTTTTTCTTTTTCATATCTCACTGCATACCATCATATTTGCTATTTTTAATAGTTTACATATATGTACATGTAGAAACACTGATAAATATGGACAGTTAATCCTTAAAGCTTATTTGTGAGATATAATGCATCCATCAAGACTTTATGATAGTCTTGTCATCATAGTTAATGATTTATAATTGGGTTTTAAGCATATGATAGCTTAAATTCTTAGAATTAATGCAATATTTTGACCTAGTCTTTCCTGGGATCTTTTGTGGATCTTACCAGTTGCAAGCTAATGTGTACTAGATGTTAAAGGAATGTTTCAATTTTAAAGCCCCGCTTGATGAACAAAATTTGAAAAGTTTTCTATTTTCTTATCGTAGTACTCATCCATTATTTGTAATTTCCAAGTATATTGCATGTTTATAAACAGAAAAAATGTATCCGTTTACCTTCAAACTCAATTTGCAAGAATTCAACAAATACATTTAGTGTATGCTTACAACAAGTTGAACCATTTGGCGATATGTCACTGCAAAAGAAAGTTATTCATCATGTCTACAATATAACTTGGTGATGTGACACTCCATAAGAAACTTAATCACTATGTTTATGTACTATAACTTGGTGATGTGACACTGCATAAGAAACTTAATCATCATGTTTGTGTACTATAACTTGGTGATGT